CGTGTGCTCTGCTTCATCTGCGTGGTGCTGAAGGAGATGAACCTTCACAGTGAATGAACGTGGCCGTTTAAAAAATACCTTCACTGACGCCTGTAATCCCAGCACTTTGGGAGGCCGAGGCGGGTGGATCACGAGGTCAAGACATCGAGACCATCCTGGTCAACATGGTGAAACCCCGTCTCTACTAAAAATACAAAAAATTAGCTGGGCATGGTGGCGCGTGCCTGTAATCCCAGCTACTCAGGAGGCTGAGGCAGGAGAATTGCCTGAACCAGGAGGCGGAGGTTGCAGTGAGCCCAGATGGCGCCATTGCACTCCAGCCTGGGTAACAAGAGCGAAACTCCGTCTCAGAAAAAAACAAAAAACAAAAAAAAAACCTTCGTTGTTTGCACCTGCAGATTTAGCTGTTGTGGAAAGCAGTTGATTCCTTGAGTTTCAAATATAAGACTGCCACGGTCACACCACAAGTATTCAGTGGTGACTTTTGTGTGTTCCTGTCATTCCCATTCCTTTTCATTTAGAATCAATAAAGTTGTATTTCGAATATCTGAAGAAAAAAAAAAAAGGCTCTTACAAACTACACAGTTGAGACTGTTGGATCACCAAGAGGCAAAATTGAGGGAATCTAATATTTCTAGCTAAACAAATCCTTCATGGGAGATACATGAATTTGGATATGTTTTAAATGTGTTAACTTTAGGGCCAGTATTTAGAAATAGTTGAGCGCCTTAGAAACTAAAGAAATCTGAAGAACAAAGCTCAAACTTCTAAAATTTTATTTAAAATTTATGGTCTAAAATTATTTAGCACTAATGTGATTTGGTCACCTTTTCTAATAAAATATGTGTGAGCTAATTGTTTTTTGTCGTTGTTTTTTCTTTCTTGTTGTTTTTTTGTGTGAGTTAATTGTTACTGTAATGTTTTAATATAAAACAACTTAATTGTTCAGATGGTTCCAGGGCTTAGCGCTACTGACCTAACTAAAATGGCGGCATTCCTAAAAACCTGGGACTTCCCCATCAGAGGGTGAAAACTCCTGCGCAGTTATGAAAGGGAAACTCAAGATCTTTTCAGTTTCATTTTGGTTAAGATATGGTACAAAATATGGCTGCCTTGAAGAAAGTATCTTTCCCGCCTCCAAAGGCAGGAGAAAGCAGAAAGGGAACAGATTTAGGTTGTGGCACAGATTTAGGTTTAGGTCAGATTTCTGACCCCGGAAGACTTTTTGTCTGAGAAGTTGAGAATCCTTAACTCCCAGGCATCTTCCAGGTTCCCAGCTCTTGCTAGTTTGATTCTGTCTGGCACTTAGGAACATGTGACATGTTAAGGGCTAAATGTTTATTATGATAAAAAGGTGGTACATGTACCGTGTATATGTGACAGGGTCATTTTATTCAATAAGCACAGTTCCAAAGGTTTGTGTTACTGGGGGGGGATATATCCATAAAAGATATGCCGTTAAGAAGCTTTCGGCCTAATTGGGGAGATGAGGATGCTACTTATATTTAAAATTCTAAGTGTTATCTTTTAAGTCTATTCATACCTTTATATAAACAAGAGTACCTCAAATATATCTTAAGGAGACAGCTGAGTATTAAGTCTATTCATACCTTTATATAAACAAGAGTACCTCAAATATATCTTAAGGAGACAGCTGAGTAAGAACTTTGGAGAACTGCTGGCTGGTCAAGAAGTTTAAGCCAATCTTACAAAATGTGGGGTTACCTAGATGACCTGGGGGTTTTCTATCTTGAACTTCATAGAAGCCGCAAAAAAGCTCATATCCTCCTCAGCCCCATCCATGAAGTCTGCTGTTCTGCATTTCATGGTCTGCCCTCTTCCTTCAATGTGAGGGACATATCATCAGGTTTAAGGAGAATCCGGGTCTAGTAAAACACAGCTAGCCACAGATTTGTACTAAAAATCCAGTGATATCATTTGCAATGAAAAACTTTAAAATCTAACTTCATGGCTTACTGATTACTGTCTTATACCACTACTATCTATCAATATACCGGGCTATATTGGTAAATGACAGTCTGAGTCAAGAGAAGATTGAAAATAATACACCTAATGGGATGACTGGACTCCTTGCTGGGAGTCACTGGGAGATACTACCCAAAATGCAGTTTGTGTAGGGTGGGGTCAGGCACCCTCAAAAAGTGCCGATGGCAGTGTCACGAGCTTCCTTCTAGGTTTCCTTCTGTTCCCTCCTCACCCACCATAAACCCAATCCTTAAGGCAACAGCTATTATTAACTCAGGGCTCAGAAGAAATAGTCTTAGTTGCCCATATGAAAAGTATTGAAACAGGACTCTGTAAGGATATTCTAGTTAGCCACAGGCATAGAATAGTGGCTTCCTGTGATGTCCAAAACGTGGTTAAGGTCACCATTCTGATGATTTCACTGGCATGTGCTTGCTCATTGAAGAAGGAGAACCAGGCAGAAGAACCTTATAAACGTTTTTAGTCAATGCTTATTTGTTATATTTCTTAAAAACAAAACAAAAATCACAAGTTTAATACTAGTCCTTTGAAATATCGCAAAACCACTTTACCACCTTACTCATGCAGCAAGCTGGTCTGTTTCTCTTTGCTTCTGTTTGCCTCAATAATTTTTGCAAACAGATTCCTCTTCAGCAGATGATATGCAAGAGGTAAAATGTGGCCAGCAACTTTATGGAAATACTAAAAAATAGAAATGTAACATTAAGCAGAGAACATAGCTTAGATATCCTAATAAGTAGCAGAAAATAGATCAAAAAAGCACTTGTTTAACAAAGGCTACTTCCAAAATCATTTCAGCTATACCCTCAAGTGATTAGTGAACACAATTTAGGGACAGGCACCTGGCATTCTAGGAGGCAATCTTCTTGCTCTAGGAGACGAATGGCATATCTTGAAAATTAAGAAAACCAAATTAAATTTGAGCTTCCTTATTCCCTTAGGTTTTATCAACTTTTTCTCATCCCAAACTATGCCCCCAAAGACTTTCTATTCTCTCCACTGTATTACCAGTCAAAAGTTTAAGCTTTCTTTTCCTTAACTGACGCTGTAAGAATAACTATGCTGGGCTGGATGTGGTGGTTTATGCCTGTAATCCCAGCACTTTGGAAGGCCAAGGCAGGTGAATCACCTGAGGTCGGGAGTTTGAGACCAGCCTGACCAACATGGAGAAACCCTGTCTCTATTAAAAATACAAAAAATTAGCTGGGTGTGGTGGCACATGACTGTAATCACAGCTACTCGGGAGGCTGAGGCAGGAGAATCGCTTGAACCCAGGAGATGGAGGTTGTAGTGAGGCAAGATGTGCCATTGCACTCCAGCCTGGGCAACAAGAGTGAAACTCTGTTTCAAAAAAAAAGAATAACTATGCTGACAGTGAGTTTTCAGATCATATTCCCTTTATCCCCAAATTCCTTCTCTCCCCCATCCCTAACATGTACCACCTCCCAACCCCTGTTAAAAGTCATTGCCTTAGGTTTATCAAAAGATTTTAGATGAACTGCTATGATCTACATATACCACCTTTTTTGTTGATCATAATCAACATTTACCCTTAACATGTGGTAAGTACTGCACTAAACCTTTTTGTAACTGGACACGTTATTTCATTCTCACAACAATCAAGCTTGCTACTCATTCACATCTTGGGTTCACATCTTATGGCTCTACTTCTTTGTGGCGAGGACCTCTAGCTGGTCAAGCACTATTCACATGGGTCAGTGACAGTCATTCTGGCTGTTGATTATTTTTACTGATATTTTGATTATTTTACTGATATTTTGATTATTTTTACTGATAAGTATCTATGAGGTAGGCAAACAAAAGTAGCCTAATGTGGTTTCTAGCTGGGTTCTCCAAATGTACACCCCGGCCAGGAGCATCAATTTCACTTGGTAACTTGTTGGAAATGCAAATTCTCGAATTTGGGGAGGGTCGGGAGAGCACCAGTGTGTGTTTGGACAAGCCCTCCCAATGACTCTGATGCTCGCTAAAGCTGGAGAGCTGGTTGAGTCTTGCTCCTCCCAGCGTGGTGTATAAAGTAGCATGGCCATCAGCTGGGAGTGTGACAGATGAAGTCTCAGATCTCATCCTGGATCTACCGATAGCGTGCATTTTAACACTGTCTGCAGGTGAGTCATGGGCATTTTACAGTTTGGGAATTACTGCACTGATTGAGGCACTGACTCGAAAACCAGACTGTTTGTGTGAACGTGGGTAAGATGCTATGCCTCTCTGTGACTTGGTTACAGAGCGGGTTAAAATGAGAATGAAATGATCTGCAATTGGGTGTGTACTCTCGCACATGTGCAGAACATATCTTACAGGTAAGGAACAGATACAAAGGTGTTGGAAAGCACCCCACAAGCATGTCATGCCCGCTACACCTTACTGCCTCTTTGACCTTCAGGCAACTATGGTTGACTCAGCACTGGTTCAGCTACTAGGTAAAATTGTCTTATTTAATGAGCAATTAGTTAATGGTAAAACAACGTCTCTTATAAAGCTTAAATCAAGTGTGTTTTTCATCTAAGAATTCAAGCACAATCACAAATACCCCCACCACAATGGAAATGAAATGAAGCATAAGGTGTGTGCACACACTCGCATATGCAGACCCAAACGTATACACGCAGCAAGAAGGCATGTCCCTGTAATGTAAGCCTGTCCCTGTAATGTAATAAGTCAATTCACTTTAATGTAAGCCTGAATGCAAATAATCTTGGTTAACCTTGGAATAAGAACCAGAATATAAGATTCGTTTCAACTCTTTTTAGGACAGCTGCTTTAAAAAAAGAAAATCTCAAAAAAGAAGAAAAAATCAAAATAAAAAAAGAAAATTTCTTCAAAAAGCTCATTTGGAAATACAAGCTAAATCCCTCTCTGACCTCTGCTGGAATTTGGGGGCATAAATGTGCATGTATTCATGTGTGTATATGTGAGTGGGGGAGGGGAGGGGAGGGTGGGTGGCAGGTGGAGGAATGTTTTTACTCACATCAGCCATAGCAAAAGAGGTTCATTCCCAACTCAAGCCCCATCACATGCATCATTAGCAAAATGCACGGAAGTCATCGGTTCCTAAATGGGAGCAAAGGCTTTTAGTCTCTCCTCGTCACTTGTAGCCTCAACTGTATTCTTGCAAATTCTCTTGAAGTCAGCTGAAAGAAATCAATAATATGGAAGATTACACAGTTAGAAAATGAATCAGTCTTCAAAGGTAAGAAGACTAGAAAGCAGAGTTTTTCCTCCTAAGACTTTGTACTAGTCCAGCTTGTGCCACCTTGGGTAGCCATCTGCAGCACTCTGATTTAGAAAGGCAATTTGGTAATTTTTCTACATAGGATTCAAGCTTAAAAACAGCTTAACAAAGATTTCTTTATCAACAACTATCTCACAGGATTTGGTTATAGTCATGATTTTTTTTTTTTTTTTTTGAGACAGAGTCTCACTCTGTTGCCAGGCTGGAGTGCAGTGGTGCAGTCTTGGCTCACTGCAACCTCTGCCTCCCAGGTTCAATGACTGTCCCATCTCAGCCTCCTGAGTAGCTGGGACTACAAGTGTGCGCCACCATGCCGAGCTAATTTTTGTATTTTTAGTAGAGACAGGGTTTCACTATGTTGGCCTAGATGGTCTCAAGCTCTTGACCTTGTAACCCGTCCACCTTGGCCTCCCAAAGTGCTGGGATTACAGGTGTGAGCCACCGTGCCCAGCTAAAAACATGATTTTTAAAAAAAATCTATTCCATGGTGGCAACCATGATTTTACATAAGCTTTAAAGATTCAGCAGACTAGTCCAGGAATTGCAAACTTTGGCCAAACCTGGCTCACCCTGTTTTTAACTGCCCTTAAACTATTTTTTTCATTTGTAAATGGTTGAAAAATAAAACAAGAATGTGATAGATTATGCAGCCCAAAAAGCCTAAAACATTTACTATCTTGCCCTACATGGAAAGTTTGCCAGCCTGGTCCATGCACTCTATAGCTGCCTCTGCATCTGAGGGTTCTACATCCTTGGATTCAACCAACTGCAGACTGAAATACTCAGAAAAAAAAAAATACGGTATAACTACTATTTACATAGTGTCTACATAATGTTAGGTATTCTAAATAATCTAGATATGATTTGAAATATGCCAATGATGTGTATAAGTTATACAAATACTACACCAGCTTATCTAAGGGACTTGAGCATCAGATTCTGGGTGTCCTTTGAGGTCCTGATACTAAGAGAAAGTGGATTAAAAAAAGATTACAGGCAGTGGCTCACACCTGTAATCCCATTACTTTGGGAGGCCTAGGTGGGCAGATCACAAGGCCAGGAGATTGAGACCATCCTGGCTAACATGATGAAACCTCATCTCTACTAAAAATACAAAAATTAGCTAGGCGTGGTGGTGGGCGCCTGTAATCCCAGCTACTCGGGAGGCTGAGGCAGGAGAATCACTAGAATCGGGGAGTTGGGGGTTGCAGTGAGCCAAGATCGTACCACTGCACTCTAGCAAGCAAGACTCCATCTTAAAAAAAAGAGAGAGAAAGAGACAAGGTCTTTTTGTTGTTGTTGTTCCTCTTGCCCTGTCCTACCTTATTTGTGAAAAAAATTACTGACTTGTGACTTGTGGTGAGTTAAAAACAGGAAAAGACAACAAGGTAAGAGACAAGAAATCACTGCAGAATTAAGCCTTTCGCCAAAGGCTCCACCAGAGTGGGAGAAGAGTGACCAGGGCCAGCGTGGGTTTGAGGTAAGAATAGAGACAATGTCTGATATTTACCTCAAGAATCGATTTCTACAAATTTACATTCCAATGTTGGCTTTCAAGATTTTTTTCATTCTTTCTGGATGTTCATGTGCATGAGATCCCAGGATGCAAATGAGATGGAAATATGAACAGTATCTAATTAGGCTTCCTGTTAACAAATTGTATGTCCTTTTTGACAAACTATACTTCACAATAATAATGAAAAGAATGGATATTATTAAAAAAAACAACAACAACAACAAAACATTTTCAAACAGGTGGCTGCTATACTGGGGGAGAAGAAGATTGCTTAAAACATTAACAATTATACTTAAGAATGACAGGTGATTTTATGTTATATGTATGAGGCACAATGTTCTGATGGTACTCACAAAAAATATAAGGTATAATGTTACCAAGGATGGGCTGGGTACAGTGGCTTTTGCCTGTAATCCTAACATGGGAGGATCTGGTAGACTGAGGCAGGAGGATTGCTTGAACCCAGGAATTTGAGACCAGCCTGGGCAATGTGGCAAGACCCTGTCTTTATAAAAAAAACAAAGGTAGAGAAATTACCTGGATGTGGTGGTAGGCAGCTGTAGTCCCAGCTACTTGGGAGGCTGAGGCGGGAGGATCACCCCAATACAGGAGGTCCAGGCTGCAGTAAGCCATGATCATGTCACTGCACTCCGCCTGGGTGCCAGAGTAAGACGCTGTCTCAAAAAAAAAAAAAAATACCAAGGACAGTATTATAAAACTATACTATATACTAGGGCTTTTACCCCCAGTCTATGAACATCATTTGATTCAGTCTTGATGACAGTACAGAATCCATGCTGTCACCTGAGTCACAAAATGTGTTTTGTTCCCTTTCCCACTTGTGGTAGACCAGTATCATATTGAATGAATGGCAAACGTCACCACCTACGTTTCTAACTGTCTATAAACAGTAGTGACATATCTGTTGGTTTGAAACCTTTTAAAAATTAAACTATTTTACATAAGCTTCATGACCTTCCTTTCTTCAGAAAAATTAGTGCTGATCATTTCAAGAAAACAGATGAGGCTTTTTCCAAAAAGTTCCTTAAGGATGGAAAATAAGTGGTTCCTCCCTGTGGGACAGAGAGTTACATCCATGGGTGTAACTGATTGATTAGGACCCTCAGAATCTCTCACAGTGCTCCAGGCAGCCTCTACAAATCAGGGTGGCTATGGAAGTGAAGAAGACCTATTGGTCTTCTTTTAGCAAATAATTTAAAGTGTATCACTTTCCAGTACCATATATTCTATTTTTATACCTGGCAAGTCACATTTGGACTAAAAAGAATAAGCAACTTAGATGAATTACTATGCTAGGAAAACGCTGAAGAACAGAGATGAAAACACTCAGCTCACCATCAGTACAAGGGAAAATACATTCTTCCAGCAATAAAACGTTCTACAGAAGTTTCATGTAACTGAAGCCCAAACTTAAAGAACCTACGTGAAACCTTAAATTAACTATTCAGAAAGGAAGGCTTAAATGTTACTACTGGAAATACTCGATGTAATGAGCCAGCAGTTTCACTGCGGAACTCTTACTGTGCCCCTGCCCCTACTATCAACCAGAATACTGAAATTAAGCTGCAGTGGTTGTGCCAAGGTAAAAATTAGGCAACTAGGCAGGGAACTCTTGTTTTGATTTTATTTTTCCAATTTTTTTATTGCATTTTAGGTTTGGGGGTACATGTAAAGAACATGCAAGATTGTTGCATAGGTACACACGTGGCAGTGTGATTTGCTGCCTTCCTCCCCATCACCTATATCTGACATTTCTCCCCATGATATCTCTCCCCAACTCCCCACCCCCTGCTGTCCCTCCCCTATTCCCCCACACACACCCCAGTGTGTAGTGCTCCCCTCCCTGTGCCCATGTGTTCTCATTGTTCAACACCCACCTATGAGTGAGAACATGTGGTGTTTGATTTTCTGTTCTTGTGTCAGTTTGCTGAGAATGATGGTTTCCAGGTTCATCCATGTCGCTACAAAGGACACGAACTCATCGTTTTTGATGGCTGCATAATATTCCATGGTGTATATGTGCCACATTTCCCCTGTCCAGTCTATCATTAATGGGCATTTGGGTTGGTTCCAGGTCTTTGCTATTGTAAACAGTGCTGCCATGAACATTCGTGTGCATGTTTCTTTATAGTAGAATGATTTATAATCCTTTGAATATAAACTCCACAGCTTCTGCACAGCAAAAGAAACAGTCATTAGAGTGAATTGGCAACCATCAGAATGGGAAAAAATTTTTGCAGTTTACCCATCTGACAAAGGGCTGATATCCAGAATCTACAAAGAACTAAAACAGATTTACAAGAAAAAAACAAGCCCATTCAAAAGTGGGCAAAGGACAGGAGCTCGTTACTTCAGGTAGTATGCACTCTACAGTCAGAAAACCAAATATGAAAACCAGTGCCTGGCCGGGCACAGTGGCTCAAGCCTGTAATCCCAGTACTTTGGGAGGCCAAGGCGGGTGGATCACGAAGTCAAGAGATCGAGACCATCCTGGTCAACATGGTGAAACCCTGTCTCTACTAAAATTACAAAAAATTAGCTGGGCACGGTGGCACGTGCCTGTAATCCCAGCTACTCAGGAGGCTGAGGCAGGAGAATTGCCTGAACCCAGGAGGCGGAGGTTGCTGTGAGCCGAGATCGCGCCATTGCACTCCAGCCTGGGTAACAAGAGCGAAACTCCGTCTCAAAAAAAAAAAAAAAGAAAACCAGTGCCCTCAGCTGGCACAGTGGCTCACATCTGGGAGGCTGAGGCGGGAGGATCCCTTAAGGTCAGGAGTTTGAGACTAGACTGATCAACATGGTGAAACCCCATCTCTACTTAAAATACAAAAATTATCCAGGAGTGGTGGAGGGTGCCCACCTACTCAGGAGTAATCCCAGCTACTCAGGAGGCTGAGGCAGGAGAATCGCTTGAACCCAGGAGGCAGAGGTTGTAGTGAGCCAATATCGCACCATTGCACCTAGCCTGGGCAACAAGGGCGAAACTCTTTCAAAAAAACAAAAATGAAACCGGAGCTCTTACTGACTAATGCTGAGCACGTGGGTCCATTTCCTTTGTGAATGTGGGAATAAGAACTACTTTAAAGAGTTGGGTGAGAATTAAATATGTGTCCATTACTTTGAAATCATGTCACTGACATTTAAGAATTGCTCAATAAAAGGTATATTATTTGCTAAGTTAAAGCATTACTGTAAGAAGCTTCAAAGGGATAAGAACAAACTCAACTGTGATTTGCTAATCATTGTCACATTAACAAACTGCCAGTCAATTATACCTCCTTGCAAACGACACTAGGCAAGAGCAAGATGAGGTCCTTCACTCTTGCGTTTTGCCACCACTTCAAAACTAATTAAGTACAGAAGGCTCTAAGGCCTAGAATATTAGACATGGACATAAAACACCAGAACCTCAACTACAGTAGGGTAACAGGCTTTACTCCAGGGCACTACAATTGAACATTCATCACCCCAAAAGTTTGAGAGACTGTCCACCTCTACAACAAATGTGCTCAACCTTTCCCAAATGAGATAGTAATCATGCTTTTTAAAGCTCTCTGTGAGCAGAGACACGAAGAGAAGTCGGCTTAGAGCAGAAGAAGGCTGACCAGTGGCTAGAGCCCACACTGGTCCCATCAGAGACGAAGTGCCTCTGGCTTCAAAGAAGAGATACAGGACAGACCAGCCTGCCTAAAAGAAACAGAATATGGGCTACATTTTTTCTAGTATCCACATGAAGAAAGAAGCAGGTGGGGCCAGAGGAGGAGCTAAGAAATAACAAAAAACAAGTGACATTAAGATATTTTATTGAACCCATATTTCCAAAATAGTAGTATGTCAATGTATAATCAATACAAGAAACATTTAATCCTGTTTTAATTTACAAACTTAAACGAATGAAAATGATACAAAATTACAGGCCAGGTGCAGTGGCTCATGCCTGTAATCCCAACATTTTGGGAAGCCAAGGTGGGTGGATCACTTGAGCTCAGAAGTTCAAGAGCAGCATGGGCAACAGAGTAAGACCCTGTCTCTACGGAAAGGAAAAAACAAAAATAATTAGCCAGGCACACCTGTAGTCCCAGCTACTCGGGAGGCTAAGACCAGATAATTGTGCCACTGTGCTCCATTCTGGGTGACAGAGTGAGACCCTGTCACACACACACACAAAAAGGTAAAAAATAACACAAATGACAAATTTTTTCCTCAGTGGCAGCAGCCACATGTGAGGTACTCAGTGGTCGTCACCCTGGACAGCTCAGCCACATTCATCCCTATGGCATTACTCTAAGTGGCAGAGGTATGACAAAAACAGGTTCATATGAATAGCTGCCATTGAAGACATCACCATCTACTAGCTGGAGACTCTGCACAGGAAAGTTTGAAAACTGCTTTAGAGAACTGGTCTAAATGCAGATGTCCAGGTCACAACCCCAGAGACTGGTAACTACCAAGGCTAGTTAGTTCTGTTCTGAAAAAGAGCCAAATACATGTGCTGGGTAAGAATACGTGGTTCCTTGAAAAGGTGCTAAGTTTGATTTCCCTTTGTGTTCTATCCTCCCAGAACAGGATGATCAATACAGGAAACCAACAGGGCTGTTTACTATAAGGGAATGGAGATGAGGGGAAAGAGCTGAGATGTGATTTTAATTCTCGATGGTCAATGTAGCAGTAACTAAATTATGAGCAGTGGTCCATTCTGGAAGTGTCTTTATGCTTATAGAGAAATATAGAGAAAGTAGTTCAAGATCTTTGGCTTCTGAAAGCTAAATCATTTGACATGCAGATGAAAAATGTTCACAAAGAACCCTCAAAACACACACTATTTCAATAACTTCTATTTTGCAAGTGGACTGTAATGTCAAATGTTCAGAAATAGTTCCCCAAAAGCAGGCAATAGGTTAAACTTCTTTAAATTCTTAAAAATAGGGCCGGGCACGGTGGCTCACACCTGTAATCCCAGCACTTTGGAAGGCCGAGGTGGGTGGATCAAAAGGTCAAGGGATTGAGACCATCCTGGTCAATATGGTGAAACCCCATCTCTACTAAAAATACAAAAAATTAGCTGAGCATGGTGGTGCACGCCTGTAATCCCAGCTACTCAGGAGGCTGAGGCAGGAGAATTGCCTGAACCCAGGAGGTGGAGGTTGCAGTGCGCCGAGATCATGCCATTCCACTCCAGCCTGGGTAAACAAGAGTGAAACTCTGTCTCGAAAAAAAAAAAAAATTCTTAAAAATAACCATCAAATTTTGAGCACTGAGGTAAGCATTTTGCTAAGTATCTTAATACTTGTTTATATCCCAAATTCCCCTATGAAGTGAATGTAATTAACTTTATTTTACAGATGAAAAAGACAAGCCTTCATGGGGTTAAATAATTTGCTCAAATGCAACAGCACATCAAAAAGCTTCCTGGGGATGCAAGACTGGTTCAACATATGCAAATCTATAAACATAATCCACCACATAAACAGAACCGAAGACAAAAACCACATGATCATCTCAATAGATGCAGAGAAGGCCTTTGACAAAATTCTACAGCACTTTCTGCTAAAAACTCTCAATAAACTAGGTATTGATAGAACGTATCTCAAAATAATAAAAGCTATTTATGACAAACCAACAGCCAATATCATACTGAATGGGCAAAAACTAGAAGCATTCCCTTTGAAATCTGGCACTAGACAAGGATGCCCTCTCTCACCACTCCTATTTCAATATAGTACTGGAAGTTCTAGCCAGAGCAATCAGGCAAGAAAAAGAAATAAACGGTATTCAATTACCAAAGGAGGAAGTCAAACTGTCTCTATTTGCAGACAACATGATTGTGTATTTAGAAGACACCATTGTCTCAGCCCAAAATCTCCTGAAACTGATAAGCAACTTCAGCAAAGTCTCAGGATACAAAATCAATGGGCAAAAATCACAAGCATTTCTATACACAAATAATAGACAGAGTGCCAAATCATGAGTGAACTCCCATTCACAATTTATTTGCTGCAAAGCAAATAAAATACCTAGGAATACAACTAACAAAGGATGTGAAGGACCTCTTCAAGGAGAACTACAAACCACTGCTAAAGGAAATAAGAGAGGATACAAACAGATGGAAAACTTTCCATGCTCATGGTTAGGAGGAATCAATATCATGAAAATGGCCATACTGCCCAAAGTAATTTATATATTCAATGCTATCCCATCAAGCTACCATTGACCTTCTTCACAGAACCGGAAAAAAACATTTTAAACTTCTTATGGAACCAAAAGAGAGCCCACTTAGCCAAGACAACCCTAAGCAAAAAGAACAAAGCTGGAGGCATCATGCTACCTAACGTCAAACTATACTACAAGTCTACAGTAATCAAAACAGCATTGTACTGGTACCAAAACACATATGTAGGCCAAAGCAACAGAACAGAGGCCTTGGAAGTAACACCACAAATCTACAACCATCTGATCTTTCACAAAACTTACAAAAACAAGCAATAGGGAAAGGATTCCCTGTTTAGTAAATGGTGTTGGGAAAACTGACTAGTCATGTGCAGAAAACAGAAAGTGGACCCCTTCCTTACACTTTACACTAAAATTACCTCTAGATGGATTAAAGATTTAAATATAAGACCTAACACCATAAAAAACCCTATAAGAAAACCTAGGCAATATCATTCAGGACATAGGCATAGGCAAGGACTTCATGATTAAAACACCAAAAGCAATGGCAACAAAAGCCAAAATAGACAAATGGGATCTAATTAAAGTTAAGAGCTTCTGCACAGCAACAGAAACTATCATTAGAGTGAACCAGCAACCAAAAGAATGGGAAAAAAGGTTTTGCCACCTACCCATCTGACAAAGGGCTAATATCCAGAATCTACAAAAAACTAAATCAGATTTACAAGAAGAAAACAAACCCATTCAAAAGTGGGCAAAAGATATGAACAGACACTTTTCAAAAGAAGACATTTATGAGGCCAAAAATCATATGAAAAAATGCTCATCGTCACTGGTCATCAGAGAGATGCAAATCAAAACCACATTGAGATATCATCTCACGCCAGTTAGAATGGCGATCATTAAAAAATCTGGAGACAACAGATGCTGGAGAGGATGTGGAGAAAAAGGAACACTTTTACACTGTTGGTGGGAGTGTAAATTAGTTCAACCATTGTGGAAGACAGTGTGGTGATTCCTCAAGGACCTAGAAATAGAAATTCCATTTGACCCAGCAATCCCATTACTGGGTATATAACCAAAGGATTATAAATTGTTCTGTTATAAACACACATGCACACATATGTTCATTGCAGCACTGTTTACAGTAGTAAAGATCTGGAACCAACCCAAATGGCCATCAATGATAGACTGGATTAAAAAAATGTGGCACATATACACCATGGAATACTATGCAACCATAAAAAAGGATGAGTTTGTGTCCTTTGTAGGGACATGGATTAATCTGGAAATCATCATTCTCAGCAAACTGACACAAGAACAGAAAACCAAACACCACATGTCCTCACTCATAGGTGGTTGTTGAACAATGAGAACACATAGACATAGGAAGGGGAACATTACACACTGGGGTCTGTTGGGGAGTGGGAGACTAGGGGATGGACAGCGGTGGGTGGGGAAGTTGGGGAGGGATAACATTGGGAGAAATGCCTGATGTAGGTGACGGGGGAATAGAGACAGCAAACCACCATGGCATGTGTGTCCCCATGTAAGAATCCTGCAAGATCTGCACATATATCCTAGAACTTAAAGAACAATAAAAAAAGAAATAAAATGCATGACCATTTTCAAAAATAATAATATTAATAATCATTTGCTCAAGGCCAGACAGCTATGAACTCAGTTTTAAATCAGGAATGATCAACTGTAAAACCTAAGCTTACTCTTTATTACTAAGCTCTAGCAACTGTCTCACAAAAGGTGTATGGACATCCCTACTTCCCAATATAAGGTCCATATGCGTTCACACATATGCACATAGTTACTTATGAAATACATTACCACCTGTTTTAGGGAGCTCTCCGTACCCAACACCATTTTTATCTGTTGGAACAACCAAGCCTGCTCCATGAAAGGTCTTTGTCACAACCTATGTTAAAGAAAAATTTACACAGTTTTCTTTTGTACAGTGCTTTACACCTACTAAAAGTTAACTTGTTTAATGCAAAACAAGACCTTGAAAGGTCAATCATATTAAAGCTGGTTTGATTAATAATAACTATATTTTCGGAAGAAGATTTTTCCCTATATAAGATGTCATACTGCAGATTTAAAATATAGACTATCAATAAAATGCATGAAGTGGTCAAAAGTAAAAAAACTTAAAAAAAGAATAAAATGTAATTATGGTAAGTAGACATCAAACAAAACCCAAAATACATAAACCCTGAACATATCTGCCAAAAAGTAACATTCAATGACTTTTTTTTTTTTTCAGTAAATTTGGACTCCAGGGTAAAAATCTAACACTATTTTTTTCTTAAAAATTAGCTAAAAGTGCCTGGGCACAGTGGTTCACACCTGTAATCCCAGCACTTTGGGAGGCTGAGGTGGCTGGATCACAAAATTAGGAGTTCAAGACCAGTCTGGCCAAGATGGTGAAACTGCATCTCAACTAAAAATACAAAAATTAGCCAGGCGTGGTGGCAGGTGCCTATAATCCCAGTTACTAGCAGGCAGGAGAATTGCTTGAACCCGGGAGACAGAGGTTGCAGTGAGCCGAGATCATGCCACTGCACTCCAGGCTAGATAACAGAGCAAGACTCCATCTCAACAAAAAGAAAAAGAAAATTAGCTAAAAGTTAAACCCTCAAAGTAATCACAGAACAGTGAAATAAATGGCTTTTCTTAATTGTTCCAGTCACTTGGAAGTCTGCCTCCTGATTTGTTAAGGAAGAACCCAATACATCCTAGAATGCAAGCCAAAACATCTGGTTCCTCTAAGGTCAAAGTGGCTTCTTGGTAGAAAGCACAGAAGAACTTGGGTCTATAAGAAAGATAGAAACAGTTTTTGTCAGCAAGAAGATACGGTAGGACAGATCTCCTGCCAAATTCAGATCCCCCTATTTTTACCTGGCATATTTAGGCTTGTTTGCAAACTTCCCAAAAGTAAGGCAGTTTCTAGGTTTGTGGTGTCTTTTATGGAGGAAAATCACGTAACCAGTGAGCTTTTATCAAGTGTAACCTTCAAAGACAAAAACAGGCCTAACTACAACCACCACCACGACCCTTCCAGTTTATTCTTCCTTTAGTTCATGTTAGTTAGGCATTATTTTTAGGTCTTTCCCTAACAAAATATCTGTGCAAATCTTCCACTTCCTCATGCCATTCAGTGAAAAGTTTTTTAAGGCAGAGGAAGGAAGGACACAACCCCAAAACCAAGCCTCTCATCTAAGTTTTTATATCTTAAAGCTGTTTTCTCTCTAATCTTCCTATTCTCCCAGCCTCTTGTTTCTTTCACTATCCTTTATTAAGCTGCCAAAAGGGCAGATCATTCAAAGAAAGTTATTAGACAACTGGTTACCACTTGGGAAAGAAACGAAGTCATCGTCTTCTGTCTTAATCTTTATATCAAGATAATGTGCAGCAAAATTTCAGAATTAAAAGTAAAAATAAAACCATAAAACTAGTAGAAGGTAAATTTTAAAAAACAATTTTGTGATGGAAAAGAAAAAGGTAACTATATGAAAATAAAAAATCTATATACGCAATAATAGTGGGACTTTAACACCCCACCGTTAATGTTAGACAGATCAACAAGACAGAAAATTAACAAGCATATCCAGCACTTGAACTCAGCTCTGGACCAAGCAGATCTAATAGACATCTACAGAACTCTCCACCCCAAATCCACAGAATATACATTCTTCTCAGCACCACATTGCACTTATTCTAAAATTGACCACATAATTAGATGCAAAATTAAATGCAAAAGAATGGAAATAATAAAAAACAGTCTCTTAGACCACAGTGCAATCAAATTAGAACTCAGGATTAAGAAATTCACTCAAAACTGCACAGCTACCTGGAAACTGAACAACCTGCTTCAGAACGACAACTGGAGAAATAACTAAATGAAGACAAAAATAAAGATGTTCTTAGAAACCAATGAGAACAAGACAAAACATACCAGAATCTCTGAGACACATTAAAAGCAGGGTCTAGAGGGAAATTTATAGCACTAAATGCCCACAAGAGAAAGCAGGAAAGATCTAAAATTGACACCCTCACAGCACAATTAAAGAAACTAGAGAAGCAAGAGCAAACAAATTCAAAAGCTAGCAGAAGACAAGAAATAACTAAGATCAAGGCAGAACTGAAGGAGATAGAGACACGAAAACCCTTAAAAAAAAAATCAGTGAATCCAGGAGCTGATTTTTAGAAGATCAACAAAACATATAGACCGCTAGCCAGATTAATGAAGAAGAAGAGAGAGAATAATCAAATAGATGCAATAAAAAATGATAAAGGGGGTATCACCACCAATCCCACAGAAATAAAAATTACCGTCAGAGAATACTATAAACACCTGTATGCAAATAAACCAGAAAATCTAGAAGAAACTAATAAATTCCTGGACACATACACCCTCCCAGGACTAAACCAGGAAGAAGTTGAATCCTGAATAGACCAATAACAAGGTTTGAAATTGAGGCAGTAATTAATAGCCTACCAACCAAAAAAAGTCCAGGATAAGATGGTTTCACAGCTGAATTCTACCAGAGGTACAAAGAAGATCTGGTAACATTCCTTCTGAAACTATTCCAAACAATAGAAAAAGAGGGCCTCATTTTATGAGGCCAACATCATCCTGATACCAAAACCTGGTGGAGACACAACAAAAAAAGAAAATTTCAGGCCAATATCCCTGATGAATATCGATGCAAAATCCTCAATAAAATACTGGCAAACTGAATCCAGTAGCACATCAAAAGCTTATCCACCATGATCAGGTTGGCTTCACCCCTGGGATGCAAGGATGGTTCAACATATGCAAATCAATAAACGTAATCCATTGCATAAACAGAACCAATGACAAAAACGACATGATTATCTCAATAGATGCAGAGAAGACCTTCAACAGAATACATGCTAAAAACTCTCAATAAACTAGGTATTGATGGAATGTATCTCAAAATAATAAGAGCTATTTATGACAAACCCACAGCCAATATCATACTGAACAGGCAAAAACTGGAAGCATTCCCTTTGAAAACTGGCACAAGACAAGAATGCCCTCTCTCACCCCTCCTATTCAACACAGTATTGGAAGTTCTAGAGATCCAAGATGGCTGATCACTAACAGTTCGGGATTGTAGCTCCCAGTGAAAGTGCAGAGAACAAGAGGACGCCACACTTTCAGATGAATTTTCATCGCTCACGGACCAGAAGATTCCAAGTGGAGGGGCCTCACAGGTCACCAGCACGACTCTTGTGGCCGGCGCAGTGGTTTTGCTGGTGCCTCGGCGTGGCAGCTCTTAGTGCAGAGTAAACGGGAGGAGATTGCCGGGCAGAAGAGCACCATCAGTCTTATCGCTGCTGTTTTGGCTGGCACAGTGGGTTGCTCGGATTCCAGCGCTGGGAATCAATAAACTGGGCGTCCACTCAGAAACCCAACTAGAAAGGTGGTAATCGTAAAGACAACAGATGGATAAATTTATAACAAAGAGAAGAAACCAGCCTAAAAAGGCTGAGAATACCCAAAATCGGAACCCCACTCCCTCTACAGGGAATTACAGTTCCTCATCAGCAACAGAGCAAGGTCTGATGGAAAAGGACTGTGTTCCATTATCAGAAGTAGGCTTCAGAAGGTGGATGATAAGAAGCCGATGGAAAAGGACTGTGTGCCATTATCAGAAGTAGGCTTCAGAAGGTGGATGATAAGAAACTTCTGGGAGTTAAAAGAACTTGTTCTAACCCAAGTAAAGAAACAAAGGTTTGAGGAAATGCTAGCAAGAATAGACAATATAGAGAGGAATATAAATGAACTAACAGAGTTGAAAAACACAACAGAAAAACTTAGCGAAATATGCACAAGTTTGAATAGCCAAATTGATCAAGCAGAAAAAAGAATATCAGAGGTTGAAGACCTACTTAATGAAATAAAATGAGAAGACAAGAATAGAGAAAAATGGATAAAAAGGAAAGAGCAAAGTCTCCAAGAAATATGGGACTATGTGAAAAGACCTAATTTATGTTTGATAGGTGTATCTGAACACGACAAAGAGAATGAATCCAAGCTGGAAAATACTCTTCAGGATATTATTCAGGAAAACTTTCCAAATCTAGCAAAGCAGCACAATATTCCACTCCGGGTAATACAGAGAACACCACAAAGATATTCCTCAAGAAGAGCAACCCCAAGGCACATAATCGTTAGATTCACCAGGATTGAAATGAAGGAGAAAATACTAAGGGCAGCCAGAGAGAAAGGTCAGATTACCCACAAAGGGAAGCCTATTAGACTTACAGCAGATCTCTCAGCAGAAACTCTACAAGCCAGAAGAGAGTGGGGGCCGATATTCAACATCCTTAAAGAACAGAACTTTCAGCCTAGAATTTCATATCCTGCCAAACTAAGCTTCACAATTGAAGGAAAAATAAAATCTTTTATGAACAAGCAAGTACTCAGAGATTTTATTACCACCAGGCTGGCTTTACAAGAGCTTCTGAAAGAAGCATTATACATGGAAAGGAATAACCAGTATTAGCCTTTCTAAAAATATACCAAAAAATCAAGAGCATCAACATAAAGAAGAATTTACATCAATGAATGGATAAAATAGCCAGTTAATATCAAATGGCAGTAACCCTAAATTTAAGTCGACCAAATCCCCCAATCAAAAGATACAGCCAAAACCTAATGATATGCTACATCCAGGCCCATTTCACATTCAAAGATACACAAAGACTTAAAACAAAGGGACGGAGAAAGATTTACCAATCAAATGGAGAGCAAAAATAAATAAATAAAAAGCAAGAGTTGCAATTCTCACATCTGATAAAATAGATTTCAAAGCAACAAATATATGGTAGTAAAAGGATCAATGCAACAATAAGAGCTAACGATCCTAACACCCAGATACATGA